ATTTAAATGCATCATCGTTCTGTTAAAAGTTAAATATAGTGCATAATATGGAGATCCCGTCATTTCTTTTTTTCACTATGTTTCTTTTTTATTATTTATGTAAAGCCTTGCTAAATCTTGCTAAGCATTCAAAAGAGAGAATGCTTGCACCTGTTATCTATATTTTAAAATCGTTTTTTGAGTATGTTCCCCTGTTCACAATTCTACAAAATGTCAACAGTCTATAGCCAAGACTGTTTGGATAATAAAAAGCAAAATAAAAAAAAAAATATCTCCCAAGTGCCCACAAACCTGCATCTTTACCTTAAATGGAAAGCAAACGCTCCTGGGCCCTAGGATAAAATTAAAGAGTTTCTTCGAGTTTAAAATTTCAATAAAACAACCACGAAAGTCGAATATTTCCGAAGACAAATCGTCTCACCTTTCTCAGATGCAGCTTCACTTGAATCAGTTCTGATATAAGACACAGCACCGAGTTTCACCGCCCTATGTATGTTTACGCCAAATGTCTGCCACCCTGAAACCAACTTTAAGCCAGCCCTCGTGTTCATAGTGAGCACCTGCAAGTCACTTACCTCCGCGTGGCAGCCCTGTTTCCGGGTTCATGATTGGCCGTGGTCAACAAACAACCCTGGAATTCGACCAATAACTTTCATTTACTGGGCGTAATTATGTAACCATCTGTCAATTATTTGCATATAACCTTCATATTAGTCAATTATTTCACATCTTCGTAATTAGTACCTGTCAGTGGTTTTTTTTTTAAATGGGGTTCGGGTGCCAAGATTGAGGTCTGAAGCAAAACGTAACAATTGTTGTAAAATGGTCGAAAGAGAAAAAAATAAAATAGAATAAAAGAAAATAAAAACAAAAAACAGTAGATCATTTTTTGTCGGTAATTGATGCCTACCACCTTTCGGTCATAAATCATGTGACCCCCCAGCTTTCATATAAATCGCGCCCTCTAACGATATAGTTTTTTTCTAACTATAATATAACTTAAGGTAGTATTATAAAGCGGCAACTTTGTTTAGTTGTATTATGCTGATTATGAATTCAAATACAGAAAATGTGACCGACCTCAATAAACGTCATTTCTTTCACCCACCCACATACGACACAGATGGGCTTCGTCGCTTGAGGGCGTCACATATCACCACTATGTATTTTTCTTATTCTAACCTATGTCGTTGGCCAAAATTATGCGCAATAAACATATGCTTAAACCACAGTCCCTAAGAGACTGTGCTTAAACACTATCTTGCTGACGTACTTTTACATTTTAAAAATTCCGAACATATAAAAATACTGTAAATAAATAAACGCTGCTCGGACTGATAAATATGATATATAGAAGATAATATTTGGTAATCGTAGTCCTAAATAACTATTAAAAATAGCTAGACGTTTCGAGCAATGGCTCTTTATCAATAGCATAGAAGAAAATGTTAAAACGTACAGGTTGAACAAAGGAACGTAAGAACGCGCATGAACTATAAATTGGAATCACAACAAAATTCACAATAGAACAAGGTGGTTTAATTGGCGTAGAGATTTGTATCTGGTGGAGGCGGAGAGGCAGTTATCGGATACAGACTCCTACCAGGCACTTGATGTGGATATCACTAATGAAATACAACGAGAAATAGGTGATGTGGTTAATGGTTATATTGCTAAAGGTGATTTGCCGAAAGAGGCCAAAAATCTTATAGTGCGCAGACCACGAACACCAGTCTTTTATCTATTACCT